ATTATGGTATCTGCACATATATAAACTTTAACTTAAGTATGATGTATTAAGGTTTATACCGTTTAACCGTAATTGATCATTTTTAAACGGGCTCAATAAACTGATAGTTTATTATACACATTGAAATCTACATTAAATTCACTTATTGATAAAAGATTCAACATACAAGACAACAAGGTTTGTTCTCAATTATATCTCATTCTAAACCCTTCATCTGTTGGGACTTTATAAACTCTTACTAGCACTCTTTTACAAAATGAAGGTATAGTCATTTAAAATTTTGACGAAAAACTCTTGAGAAAAATTACGATAAATTTGATTATGCAAAAATCATATTTTTATAATAGATTTTTAAAAGATCAAAATGGAGGGAAATATGCATCAAGAGATTGAGGAGATTATACCAAATCAAGAAGAAAACTTAGGAGAAAAATCCCCAAGTTCTTCCTGGTTACAAATGACAAATAAGCATAATGAAATTTGCATGTCTTTGCAAATACTAAAACACATTATTAACATTAACCTCACAAGGTATATGTTTCCTAAGGTTTTAAGAAAGTTAATATATTGTTATATTGACCTTATATTGTAAAGGAAACTAGATTAAAGAAAAGTAAACTTTCAATGGAATTTTGTTTTAGAGTTGATTTTAAAAGAAAATTTCATTCTTGTTTAGTTAGTTAATTAAATCAAAGTAAGAATTTTATTTAAAAGACAAAATAACCTAAATTCAATTAGTAAATTAGCTATTATATTATATATATATTAAGTTATTTAAGAAATTTAATGTTAGAATATTATTAAACCTCTTTTTGGTCGGCTCCCAAACCGTAGCCGACATCTCTGACCGGAGAAGAAAAATAAGGGCGGCTGGAGAAAAGCTCAGCCACCGGAGGGGTGATGGCATCGCCACACCGGAGACCCAAAACGACATTAATAAGTGCAATTTTCTCCCATTCGTCCTGTTTTTCCGTTCTAAGCTATTCGAAACTATCTTTAATGTAGAGAAAAACCTAAGGAAAGGCAGTCACCCGAGAAAGCAAATGGTAGAGCTCAGTTGAGCCGCCACACTAGAGACCGAAAAACGCTATGGTAAATTGTATCCTCTTTCTGTTCATTTTGTTTCCCCCACTCTTTGGTCGTATAACTTGTTTCCGATGCAGGGTGATCGAAAAAGCCACGAACCGCAAGGAAGGAACGACGGAGCTTGGCTGAGCTGCCACACTAGAGATCGAAAAACATCGATAAGCCTCGATTTTTCCCTTTTTCCACCAATAGGCACCTTCTAATCATGAATTAAACAGGTTTTTATCGAGAATCGGCCGAAAATGGCTTAATTAAGAGGAGTTGCTGGAGAAGGAGGACCCGGTGGTGGAGCACGGCAACACCGCTACGTTGGAACCCCAATCTGACCCCTGATAAGATTTTTGTCTTTTTGGCCATTTTTGTGTATTTTCACACTATTTTTAACGTACATTTTTATTTTACTAGAAAAATCTAAAAAATTCAGGAACTGGGAACCATTGGGAAGCGTGGTGAAAAAGGTGATGTTTGGACACTAACCCAGTGTAAGAATCTCTTACCCCTTTTTCCTATTACGTTAAAATTAAAGTTAAACTGATAAATGAATGTAAAATTTAATAATCTATGGCCCTCTAATTAATTAAAGTATAGGTTACCAATGGAGCACGTAACCAATCAGTTTATGCCTGTTTGAGTTTTAATTGCAGTAATTATTCATACAGTTGTTTATTATGCTATTTTATTTACTGTACTAATTACTTTAATGTAGTTGTTGTAAATTTTATGACGAATGTGGTAA